CATTCTAAGTTGCTTACCTCCATTTAGTTCTCATCACTTATTTGATGTATGTGTAACACCTCTTCGAAAGCTACCTGAACGGTCACTTACTTTATTTCCTCATCGATATGCAGGATGTCAGTGGGGCCATGGGCCACTTTTTCTTCCGTCTCTTAGTTTTAGCAAAATTTTCAACGATGCCATTAATTTCCTTGTTATTTGAGCTGTCATTTGCACAGGTTTTTGTAACTATTGCACCCTCCCAACAGAATTTTACGTTCTTTAAATGAATTTTTTTTTCTTTTTTTTTTATATTATTTGTCTTCCTTCACTGATGGTTTAGATTTCACCTGAGTGTAAAAAGTGGCGGATAGCAGGCTTTTATCAGTAGGTAGCGATACACGAATTGTATTTGGGCAAAAGGGCCTCTCTAATCTCGCGGAATAGACATTTCGCTTACAGAGCCATATTCATTTCATTCAGGCGCTGAGGTTTATTAAGCTGCCACTAACATGATTGATAATCGTACTGAGTCATTTAAGTGTATATTATGTCGTCCGAAGATATTTTTTTTTTACAACTGATGCTTTTTTGGAAGTGGAATTTCATGAGAGCGGCTACAAACTGTGTATTTTTTAGTATTCTTCATGGACCAATGGCTGACTATGTATGGGGTGAAGGTGGCTTGGACCAAATTGTGACGCAGCTGCTGAATCAATTTGAAGGCGGCTCTACTCCGGTTGATGCGAAACTGCTACCCAATTTGCCGATGACATCAGTGGAACAGAAACATGTGGACGGTTCGGTGCAATGTACCACATGCATGGAAATTTTCAAAAAGGTTACTATTTTATTGTTTTTGCCAAATTTCCCAAATACTTGGGACCAGCTGACTGTGCAGTCTGGTTCTCCAATTATGCATGTAGTACTTTTCCTATTACTTAGACCAGTGCGATGTCGCTTGTTGGTGGGTTTTGATCCCGACGTCAGTTCAGTAGGGCTGTGATTACTGTGCCCGTATTATACGATATTAAGTGTAAAAAATGTTGGAACAAACGCTAAATTTGTTTGGTGATTGACGTTGCCACTCCTAGTCCACGATAATCTACCTTGCTGGCTGCGCAATCTGTTACTCATCCTTGCAATGATTCATTACTGAAGAATTATTGTAGAGACCACTTTTTGAAACTGCTCAGAATTCTTGACTGCTCATTTTGTTGACGGGGCTGCCGTTGCTACGCGCGCACATTTCGAAGCTTCAAAACCCCGCCATAGCTTAAAACTTTCGGACCGTGGCGATTCCACATTTTCCATGCTTCGGACTGCCCGTTTGTTTCAAAGATTATGGTTTGGTCTACCAACGGCCGCCAATTATTTTAGCAAACTTATCCCACCCTTCGTTCTAATTTCCCGGCTCCGACCGTTCCACTTTTCGGTTTCTTTGGACCGTTTACTTCTTCCAAGATTATGGTTCGACC